GTAAGTCTTCATTTTCTTTTAGCATTATAGATATTACTAGCTACAAAAGGGAATTTTGTTTCTAAAGTGATTAGTTTATTTCAAACATAGATACTATGCAGTTATGAATAGCTTGTTAAAGTAAAAAAAGGCAAGTCAGAAAGGTAATTTCAAAATGTAATAAATTTATTTTGCCTTAAAGAGCATTTAAACCTCTGTTTTTGAATACGCATCAAAACATTCAAAAAACATTATCTACTTGCCGCTTACTCTTCTTCCTTCGGATGATAACCATGTGTTTCTTCTTGACTTTTAAAATATTTCTACTGTTTTAAATGCCTATCTGTTGGATATGAGCTGTTTTTTGTAAAAATACAGACAAGTAATTGTAATTTGTTTCTTTGGGGATACAATTAATGCTAAATATCTAAAAATGTTTCTTGAAATCAGTGTAGAATAGATGGAATTCAGTTCCATAAGCCTGCAATATTAACATAATGCCAAATATTTCAGTTTGGTCAAAGTGATGTTGTATTGGGATTAAAGCTAGCATGAAGGATCCATACTTCTTTTTGCCAAACGAAATACAGAAAAATGTTACTGGAATCAAATGGACTATTTTCTGGTTATTACTTTTGTATAACTGCACTGGAGTGGACTAAATAACTAAAGTTTATTTCAGTTTTACTAAGTCAAGTAGAACCCTCCCCCACACCACCACAATTATTGCTCTAATTCTAAAATGAATAAAACTTGTAATAGGTTTTTAGTGCTTCAGGAAATGTTTTCAAGGTTTGTCATTGTTGCTCTTGCAGCTAAACAAGTGATTGGGATGTTTGAAAATAGATCTGAGAAAAAGCCAGGATACGTGACTTTTTTTCATTAAATGATCACTTTATATATGTCAGTGTTGTCTTTGCTTTTCCTACCTTTGAATCTACTGCTTAAAAGAATGAGTAAGATACTAATTAAAAAGTGTAACATATTGTATGCAAGATTTGGTGGTTTTTATGTTAATCAAGACAGGCTTGCAGAGAAACATACTTGTCAGACCACTACTTGAGTACAGTGAATTAAGGAAAGATGCTTCCTAAACTTGAATTCACTCGCTTTCCTTGTTTTGATTCATAGTTGTATTAGCTTAATGTGGTTAACCTGGATTGCTGAGCAGTCAAGAATTTGAATCATAGGAATAACCTTAGAATTAGGAGACTTAACAAAGAAGAAGCATTTACAGATTCCGAAGTTTAGTGTTTAGATGTTTTTAGTGTCAAAGATTAAGGTAAACAGGTAATGATGTGTCTATTTAGCCTTTAAACACAGATTAATAATCTATTATTCCTAGGGACTATAGGAAAGGTTTAACAGATTATTGAGGAAAGCCATAGTGGTTCAGATACATGCAGTTAACTGTATATAGTAGTCTATATAAAAAATATATTTTTTTATAAATGGTGAAATACCATGAATCCTTTTTCTTAGGCAAAGCTTGTTTTTGTCAGCCCAAAGAAGAAAGATCTATTATTTGAATTTCAGTAATTTTAAATACTTACCTTACTCTTTACATCTAAGTTTAGACCAGAATTAATGAAAACATGAATAATTGACTAGTATTCAAGGTTTAATAAAGTTCAGAGCATGTATTAAGAATAGGAAAGAAAATTTTTATGTTTATGGTGCAAATTAAAGCAAAAGTCTATCTCAAACATACATACCATGAAATTTCATTGTAGTCAATATGGTGTTTGTCAGTGCAGAACCAGACTGATTACTGAAATATAATTACCTTCATGGAGGAATTTGGTTGTGGGGGGAAGTCTCTCCTCAGATAGTGCTTTAATACTTCAACAGTATTAAAGTAGGGTGCTTAAAAAAGACTATTTATGAGCAATTATTTCTAATGCACTTTAAACTGTAATTGAATAAAAAATGACTGCACTGGACTATTTTGAGAAATCTTTACCATTATGCAACGTTTAATTATCAAATTTTGCATTTCAATATTATAGCATAAAAAATTTTCTCATTTTCCAAGTAATATACTTTTTATAATGTTAGAAGAATTGTTCTATTACTACAATAAGAGCTTCAGAGGATAACCTTTCCCAAAAGTTAAGCGTCTAGGGCAGCAATAGCAATATTGCTGTTCGTGTTCTACTTCAGTAGTCAGGTTTGTTATTGCTTTCAACTTTTGCTAATTAAATTAAGATTTTTGTCATAAGATAATGACTTATACCTTGTGGTCAAGGTAAACTTCTAATGTGAAGTTTAGACCTTTAATCATTCCCTCATTCAAGAATAAAACATCTTAAAAACTTGTAGGCTTTTTTTGATGCAAGTAGACAGTGCCATACTTTTTATTGATGGTATAAGCCATTATTTTACTGAGAACCATTAGCTATTTAAAACTTTGTGCATAAATTAAAGAGGAGCTAAATGGATTTGCAGTTGTTGCCATTAGTAGCATTTTAGATTATACAGGCAATTATTGTGTTCATTATCGTAGAGCAGCCCCTTTGCAAAACTACTGTGGTTGTCTTAGACATTATGTACAAATTTTCCCTTGGAGATTAAAATTTCCAGTGGTGTGTTTAATTTTGTTAACACAGTTGTTTCAAATAGAACAAATATTATGACAAGTAGAAGAAAATTTGCTTTTCTAATATGGGAAATAGCAATAAATGTGGAAAATTACTCTAATTCTTAACTCATCTATTTCTTACATTGTCATAATTATTCTGGTTATGATTCTTTTCAAAGGAGAGAAATCACTTTCTTAAGATGGTATATTTTACAAATGCTTTGATAAAATCACAATGTAGTTAAAATGAAGTTTACCCACTTTTCCAATATTCAGATGAATTTTAGAGAATGTTAGTGAATTTCTACATGAAATGTATCTGGATAATTCAACAGTGTTTCATTAGTTTGAGTGCAGAAATTGTTTAAGTGGAAAGGCACAAAATTAAACTAATTAAGTATATCTCAGTACATTATAGTAACTAATTTTTGAGAAATGGAGAATACATTTCTATTAAAACTTACTTTCTTTGTGTGCCTTCTTAAGTGGGGTTTTGCAATTGCTTTCACTTGTCACAGTAAATTAAAATATTAAAATTGACTATAGACAATAGTATGATCTATATTAAAAAGGATTATATTATCAGTAACAAAAATATTCTTGTGCAGGAGATTTATGGTGTGAAAGTTTTTCATCATCAACTTTTTTATTCTCTTAATATCTTTCCAAACACATTTTTGTTGGTTTCCAAACTTAAATTCACATCTGTCTTCATCAATTAGAAAGGTATTAATGCTTTGAATTAGCTACATATCAGTGTGCAGAGGACTAAATTTAACGTTTCTGTCCAAAAAGTGGCATTCTTTCCAAAGAAGCTCTTTATTCATTTCTATTCTGGGGTGGGGTTTTTACGGGGGGCAGAGGGGGAGCTAAGGGGAGAGATAGGCTTTCACTACCATGATGCAGGAAAAAAAAGTGTGAGGTAGTGGTTATGCATATTGCAAGACAGTGATTCTTTATTTTATTACAAAAAAAGACCAACTCTAGAAGGCCAGATTAAATCATTCCTTTCACTTTTTAATGGGATTTGGATGAATAGAGTAAAATATGCACTTTGCATTCATTGATAGCATCTTTAGGTTGAGGTAATTGAGTCTTTTTTCCCTGACTGAATGAATAATGACTTCATCTGATCCTCAGCGAGGCCTGAAACTTAGGCTGCCTTTGTCAACGCAAAAAGATCTGGGCTTTGAAACATGCTCTACTTCCCTGGCTTAATTTTTCTTCATTTTAATCCAAAAACCTATTTTTCTCAATAATTCAAGCATAAACTATGTAGTAGTTGAAGCAGCGGAAATTGCAAGATATTTGTCCTCGTTGTGCTGCTTTTTAAATGCAGCTGATAAATCAGCCGCTGTGGTCTTCAGCTGCCTGGTTCTCTAGGGAAGGGACGGCCCCTGTATAAGCAAGATTGCTGGAATTTTTAAGAACTATATTTAAAGTGGTTCTTTTTTAGACTGTTTGTTATCGAAGGAAGTGTTATGTTTTACTGGTCTTACTGGCAAGACTTGGAGATAAAAGGGGCATCTGTGATGGGGCCTAGGAAACTCTTCCTGACATAATTTTCCCACATATTTTACTGACTACAAGAGCATCCCAAAAAGTGGAGTATAAATACTTAGCCTACAGCATACATTATTGAAATGGTGAGAGTCTTAGTTACATAGCTTAAAAATATTTTTTTCATGAGAAACAGTGGATGACAGATAGCCTCTCAATGTTTTTGCTAAAATGTTTCTAAATCAAATACCTTTTTACTCATGAAAAGTTGAACCTCTGTTTTGCTATTTTGGTTTGAAAATGGATATTCCACTTGATTGTTGTTTTTTATTCTTATATTGAATAACTGAAAGTGTCATACAATCAAAAATTATTTCTATGAAATGAGTTCAGATTTACAGACCAGTGTGGCAGTATAGTTACAAGTTACAGTACACTAGTTACACGAATGAGAAGGTAGCTCTGTCGCATTTGTCCATGGATTCTTCAATCTAACAGGTTTTTGATCTTCTAGCAGTAAATGAGCAGTAGCTATCCTGCAAATAGAATATACAGTGCCAGTATTTTTGCTGCATGCATGACAGAAGAAAATTGTTCCTGCTCATTTGTTCATCTCTAATTGTCTTTTCTCCTTGCCCTCCCGTGTTCCTGTCCTGGATCAGGGTATGGGGGAGGGATCTGTCAGGCATTCAGAAGGCCTGGCTGGGACAGTTCATGCTGGTTCTGGGAATTGTTATTGTCCTGTAACCAGGGAACATCTATTGCATACAAGCATAGGAACAATAATCAATTCAGTTATCAAAATGCAATTAATTGTTACAAGTGCATGGATTTTTAATAGGTAGGAACAAAAAAGCCAATAATAGCTAATTATTTGCACCGCAAAAGTGTCAATTTAAGAAAAAGTCATGACTAACTTGATTTATACTTCTTCCTCTAGGTTGGCTTGCTGGACCTGGAGTTGAATCAACTGACCAAAGCCCTATTTTTGGCCTTAGTTGCACTATCAGTTGTTATGGTAACCTTGCAAGGATTTGTAGGCCCATGGTATCGCAACCTTTTCCGGTTCCTCCTCCTCTTTTCCTATATCATCCCAATCAGGTATGTGTAAGAATGAAGGAAAAACACAATGTCTAATTTCACTGAATGTGTCTTTCTTGAAATTTATACTTGCTTCTCATTGTGAAGGAAATTGATCTTATCAGGAAGCTGAAGGAGAAGGTGCCAACAAATCTGCTGATTCTTGAAGGATCACTGTACAGAAAACAATACTGTTGGGTTTTTTGTATAATGTTTTTTGCTGGAGTAATCAGGATATCTAATCCTTTACTAGCATAAATGTATTAATAAGGATACAATCTTGGTATATTTGAGAACGTGGTTTTAGGAAACATGTATTCGAATGAACTGTTAAGTATATTTTGGAACTTTATTTTTAATGCCTTAAATACCGAAAATGTTCCATTTCTTGGGTTAAAATACAGACTTTTTACTACAACAATGGTTAATTTAAATTGAATGGCTGCATAATGTAGGTGCACTTTTACAACGAGAGGACTTTTAACATGTGTAACCGAGTAGAGACTTGCCCTGAATTAATTAATTCATTAAGCATGAGTACTGTATATTCAAATTGCAGATAAACTGGAACAGGAAATAATATCCATGTGTGTAATCGAGTCTTCTGTGGACACAGAAGTGAGAACACTGGCTCCAAAATGAGTTTTTTTCCTTGAATGGGTATTGCCTTTGCAAAATGGAAATACTCTCTCCTGTTAAAATACCCAGTGTTTACATTAAGGTGATTGTTAATTTTAGATGCTCTCTGGAACTCTTAAGTTTGAGATACATCATTCACTAAGCCCAGTGGCTAGCCACAGAGTTAGCAGCAACTAAACGGTAGGTAGGTTTAAGACCTATCCCCTCAGGTTTGAATACAATATTTAAATCCATGTAGTATAAGAAAAAAAGACCAGGAGGATTTCATTAAGTATTTTAATCTAAGCTTACATGACTTATGTGTTACTGTGTTCACATTTTTTAAGTACATGTCTATGTGAAGGGAACTATATCGTATTTGACCAATTTGACACTCAGGATGTATCTGTCATAAGGTTTATAACTTAAAGGACTTGTATTTTTATACTTTTGTGTTGCAAGAGCAACTGATTCTGTTGGGAAATTGAAGGACAATGTTCCAGCAAATCTGCTGGGGAGTTGAGATCTCATTGTAGAAACTGATCATCTTAGAAGAGTTTCCACTGCCTTTAACTCGCTCTTGTTTTTTATTTACACATTCATGTTTCACTTTTGTGGTATCTTTCTAAACACTGTCATTGTCATAACTCCCTTACTGCTTATATGATGCTGCTGTTGAGGTTGTGTCACCATTTCCCCGCCCCCCCCCTCGAGTTATTAAGCAACTTATCCATGTGAAGAGGCAAAAAGTGCTGCATTCAAGTGATAAGTAAAGTCTGCATATTGCTGAAAGATGCACTTAATCATCAAAGGACATGTAGGGGATTGGAAAAATGAGCTAAGAGTATAAAGGATCACTTGTCAGTCACTGTGTTCTTCCATAATAAACATACTAAGCCAAAACTTATTGAAGTGGTTAAAAGACAAGTATATCTTTGTTACAGGACGCAAGAGGATTAAAAGCATATAGGTGGTGTAAGTAAATTTGACTCTATATTGACAGTTCAACATATGTCACTGAAAAACATGTTGATTGAGCAGCTCATTTTCAACTTAAAGAGTTGTTTAGTGGACTTGTTTTCTTTTCCAAATAGTTCTTTTCCAAAAATAACTTCTAGGATACACCTAATCCCATTTTTCAATTGCTTGTAGGAGATAATATACAAAGCGGAAGTATTAGAGAATGTGATTGATTTAGTTCTGAGATGGACCATGTAGTTACTCTATGGAAGATCAGACAGGAACCTATCAGAGAATACTTTTCTCTCTAGAGGTTTATCTATTTCTATACCAACTTTTCTTCAACTCAGATCATTCGTATACAGGGTCACTTCCCACACTGTCAGCAAAATAAACAACTCCAGTCATGCTGGTGTTCAAATATAACTACACTTCTTTTCCTCTTTTCTGGAAGTTAAGCATGGAAATGACTTACTCTTTAGGCTGTATTTGGAGTGTAAACTCTTGGAGACGAAAATTACAAGACTAATGATGCTGAAGCACCAGGTGTTGTGTCCTCTCATTATTTTAAAAATAGCTATATGGGGGAAATAATGAACTTTTCACAGATAAAGGAAATGAACGTGGGAGATCAGGGTTGACTGGTAGAGGCAAAGCATATCTGAACTCATGCACGTGTGAAATGTGTTGATTGATGGTTTTAGAGAATTCAGGAAGTTTCTAAATACAGAGGTTTTTTGCAGTTATGTTTGGCTTTTGGTTTGCAGGGCAAAGGAAATTCCAGGTATGCAATAAAAATAATTTTCCATGGTCAGACATGTTTGGTGAAGACCATCAGGAGGAGGTAACTAACTGTTAGCAGATTTTAACTGATCTCTGTGCAGTCTCTCCTATAATTAATAGGAAGAAGAACTTTTTTTTGCTCTGAGGAGCAGCTAGTTCCTTGTGATTCAGCTGCATCCGAAATACTCCTCTAGATCAGTGTTGCTTCACTGTGTGAAGGGTATTACTGTGGGGCATGTAAGACTTCAGAAGTATAAACATAAAGCAACTGTAAAAAAAAAACCAAAACACAACCAAACAAAAAATACCCCAACAACGAACACCCACCCCCCCATCCCTTCTCCCCCCAAAAAACCCCAGCTCACAACATTGCACACATTCTGTAGCATACAGGGAATCAAGCAAAATGGAGAAAAAGTAGTAGTAAGCAAACATTGAAAGCTTAGTCCAGCTCTTAATTGGTTGTAAATTAGAACCATTATGCACAAAATGTTTTAAACAGCCCCACACCCCAGAAACATTTGGCCCTTAAAATTACTCTTCTGTAATTGGCGTTTCTTTTTCCCCTGTGGAGGAAGCATAGCCCAGGGAGCCTCCATAGGCAATCTGCCTCCCTACAAAGTTAATCTATTTGAATTTCTTAAAATTTATTGGAAAAGGAGGATAGAAAGCAAGTCCTTGACAGGCTGTCCAAAACTAAATAAACCTCTCTAGGATTATTGCTCACCCATTCTCTGGGTTTTTCCATGTTCCTTGGTATTCTTAGGCTTTTTTTTAGTTGGCTCTAGCCAGTTTGAAGTGCATTAATGCCTATCCATAAGTTCCTCCAGTGTCACTGGGACCATTTCATTGCTTGTTTTAAATAAAATCATTGATTGAAATACATTTGCCATTAGTTTACAAGATCTTGTCTGACTATATCACCTAGTGCAGTTATCACATAGCACTTGTTTTAAATAGTAAGGTCCTTTTGTTGAACAACTTGTATTTTGGATTGTCTTTTCTAACAAAGGGCAGAGGGCAAGAACAGTCATGCTAATGAAACGTCAGTACCTCAGGTGGGGGAAGATGAGGTAGAGCTTTGTCATTGTTACGCTATCTTTCACTTGGTTACCCAGTTTAACTCTATCACTGTGGTTATAGATACATTCTTTTTTGATTTTATATCTTTTTAAAATCAGGCTTACATTTTTATCAGGAGAGTTTAATTTCCCTTTTGTGTGGAACTAAAGACATTTACTGTACACATCTAAAATTCCTCAAGACTTACATGATTTGTATTGGAGTTTTTCCTTTAATTTTTGCAGCTACTAATTTGATCAGTTGTTTTAGTTTTAATTTTTTTTGAAAGAGCTGTCAGAGAGACAGTTACTAATATTTGTATTTTTAAGTTCAAGAGAATAGAAGAGACGTCAATCAATGTGGGATGTGAGATACACCCTCTCAACTACTGAGCTGAAAATCCCGGTGTGTATATGGGTGTAAGAAAGATGATCAGGCGGTTAGAGAGCCTTGCCACAATGCAATTCTGTCCTTTCACCTGGCATTTAGCTGTAGCATCTCTTCATCAGCTCACTTGAGCTGTCATAGTAATCGGTTCAGAAATGGCAGCCAAGACCAAAGAAAAGGCTAGCCTTAATGATGGTACTGCACCACCAAACTGGATCCCCTCCACCACCAAGTAATGGGACTCTGTTTATTCATTGTCCAGTCTTCTTCAACACCTTGAAAGGCGACGTGAGTTGCACTTTGACTTGAGTCCTTTTGTTTGTTTGCTTTGTTTTTCCCCCAAAAAATGTAGCCAGGAAAGTTTTTCAAGATAATTTAGGCTTAGCCAAGCAGTGTTTGGTGAAATTACTGCCTCGCGTATACAGGCATGTGAATCTTGTAGCCGTACATGCTTCCACTTAGTTGTTGAGTAATGTGGAGTATTTACCATAAAATGATAAGGTATTGACTGGGGATCTGGTAAAAATGTGTATCATCTAGGCTCTATATTTAGTAGCAGTTTAAAGCTGGATTGGCAAGGGCTTAATCAGCCATCTTTTTAGGAGGATCCTTTAGTTTTCGTGTACAGAGAAGCTGAAATGTCTTTTGTCCTTTCCTTCACACACCCCAAGGCTCCTGGGGACTGAGCCATTCTGCCAAAATAAGCTGTCCCAAACATCTGGAAGGAACTGCCTTGCACTTAAGTAGTAAAGTTTTGGGGCCCTACCTGGCTCCCGGCTGCTTTTTTCTGGGTCTTTAAGAGGAGCATTTAAAGAAAATCCTTCAAGTCATGTCAGTCTGTTTTCAGTGGGCAGTGAGGAAAACACTGCTAGGAAGTCTTGTATCTGAAATTCATTCATATCCAATGAAATCCCAGATCATACAAATATGAAAAAGGAAATTTTATTCAGTGTGCTTCTGCGTATTCCCGAGATCCAGGGAACTCACTCCTGTGCAGGACTGTAGTGCCTATCTAACAGCAGCAAGCAGCTATGCTGCTTTCAATCATATTGTAGTTTGTGCTGTCCATGTTAGAGCTCTAATCTGTATAATGTATAGATGTAAGAGTATCAGTATATGTAGTCTTACATATACAGACAGAAGATACGTTAGATCTACGATGCAAAGCTTTCAGTGTGGAAGAGCTAAAGAGCTACTCATGAAGTAGTTTA